ATATATATATATATATATATATATATATATATAAACCTTAATTTATCAGCATTAGGTTCATTAAACATTTTGACTGAAACCTCGTAAGCTACAGTTACAGAATCTTACTGGTCAGCTCACTACAGCTTTCCCTCATATTTAGTGTGTTTCTATTTGTATGTGTCTCAGATGTGTGTGGTGTACCTGAAGGCCACCCTGTCGTTGCTCTTTCTTAGGTCCACCAGCTGCAGGATGTTGTCTCTGGAGCAGCTGAGCAGCTGTCTGTGGTTCGGGCAAAGGTCCAGTGATGTCACTCTGCCCTGAAGAGGCACTTCCTGTGTGCAGGTCGCTGCCCTACAAACACACAGCACAGATTCACCACACATGTAGTTTTACTTAAAGGCTAAAATTAAGTCTATAATAATAAAACGTATGCGTTCAATGCTTTGCACAAACTATATGCACCTTATTGCATGGTCTGTTGAAAGTCTTTATTCTGATTGGCTGGAGGGTGTGCATTATTTCAAATGAAATCAAATTGGCGCTTTATGTATGAGAATAATGTGTGTTTAAAAATGTTGGAAGCTCCGAGCAGTCAGCGGCAGCTTTGCGAACAGCTCAACCTCCACCCCCCTCTATTTTGAGGATCAAGGCGCAAAAGCTTTAAGGGCATGTTCGAATTCACTTTTGCTATTTTACAGACAGAAAAATCCGCTTTGCGCTGCGGCGCATGGTCTAACAGGGTTGAGCTTTTTCTCTTAATGAGTAATGGGTGTGTTTTGAAAATAAACCACTTAGAGTCTCATCTCCCATTCCTTTTAAGAGTCAGTTGCGCTGCGTCATGGCACATTTGCTATTTACATGGCGGACTTTGTAAGTGGAAAAGCTGAACACTTCACTAGCAAGAAAACAGTTAAGCAGAGCATCTGCAGCACGAGAATGAGAGAATGAGACTCCTCATTCTTTACTTTTACTTTCACTCTCGTGGATAGGGAAGTGTGTTGTGCGCACAGACATCCATTAGCCTACATAATCAATTTTGTTTGTTAATCGCAAAGATTTGTTTCAAAACTATTTCTAAATTCAGTTCTAATTTCCAGCAAACGAATAAATGAACAATAATAAATATCCAATAGGGATGAGCAAATCAATTCTCGAATATCGATATATCGATACTCAGAAGATTTTAATTTGGTATCGATATTTTATTTAAGTATCAATATTTTAATCATTTCTGCAAAACTATATGTTTTGGCGCTGTGTACAGGATTGTCAGTGAAGCTTCGTATACAAGCCGTTACACCAATCAATCTGCGGCGGAACATCACGTGAGTGATCATGTACCTTTCAGATAACTTAAGTACTCAACACACACAAGATGCACACTTCTGCATTACAGAATGACACGATGGCAGAGACATCCGCTTGTTAAGTGGTGACGTATGTAATACTGTTTCCGGGTCCAAGCCGCCATTCATTTGAGTGGAGAAATCATTCGTTTATGATCACGTTTTATTCCTATCACACATTAAAGTTAATTTTATATAAAGTCATAGTGTACACAACAATCTCTGGACTTGCTGCATAACAAATACCAAAAACTTTACAATTTATAAAAAAATGAATCACTTTCTGGCCTTTGGATATTAGGCATGGACTTATATATTGCGATCGTGATTTTCGAAAGTATTAAATCGCTTTGTAAATGTTGATTATTACCAATTCATGAGTCTCCCCATTCAGTTGAATAGAGCGCGGAAGCCGCTTCGCGTGACGTCACACTTAACAAGCGGATAACGCAGCGTGTTGTGGTGCTCATCAGCGTAAAAAGCGTTGCACAAGCAATATTTGTAATAAGAAAGTCAAACACAGCAACAATACAAGCAGCCTTTATAAACACTTACAGAAAACACAGCTTGAAACTTATAAAGAAGTGGAACAAAAACAAGATGCGCAGTGTTCCTCTGCTCAGTCTCCCTCTGTCTTTCAAAAGACATAGGAGGGCAAGACCTCTCGGTATCGTAAAAATTTTAAGAAAAAGTATCGGTATCGTATCGAATTTAAAATTTGTGGTATCGCCCATCCCTAATATCCAAATACACATGCTATGCCCCATATGGTCCAAAACAGGTGGACAAATCTAAGCTTATTTTTAATAAAACAAATATAAATATGCATATAATAAATAATACTGCTACTAATTATAACATTATACAAAAGCAAATTGTAAAATGAATAAACTGAAAAAGGCCCCTGAGATGAAGAAGGCTTGAAGGCAGTTGTTTTTATATTCATGTAGAAAGTAATCATTTTTGTAATATTTTATTCCTTTAATTCTTTGTCATTTGTAAAGATATTTGATTTTTGCTGTACATTCTGTGTGTATTAAGCAATGTTTAAGCGAGGAGCACAACTAAAACGATCTGTGCTGGAATTTAGACCTCCTCTTAGCTGGTCTATTGAACAGTCTATTTTAGTTTCCCAAAATAGCAACAGGCCAGCAATGCGCCTTACCATGCCCCTTTTTTAGACCAGAACTATGTAAGTTTTAAACATTCAAAACTTTTTGTACACTCTTACACATTTGCAAATGGTATTTTGCATTTGTGAAACGGATGTTTTGAAAAAGTATTTTTATTTTGTGCACGTGAAATTTTTTTGTGAATATAAATAAATGTTTTATGCACTTGAATTTGATTTTATGCAAGTGAATTTGGCAAGTGAATCGTGTCTTTTGCATGAATTACTTTTGAGTCATTTCTGACTCCATACAGAACATTTATGGGCGTATATACAGTATGAGCGCTAATGCATTTGCTATTTAAACAGCATGGTACAAAACGTCAAAAGACTCTTGCGAAGAGCTGAATCTAGCAAACAACAATTGCGTCTTGTCTTGCGCCACATTGTGCTGGATGTATGATAGGGCCCCAGGTGTGACTGGGAATGTCTATTTGTCCACCTGTGATCGGATTAATGAAATCGCATCTTAAAATTAGCAGGTATAAACAGCACACACATGCTCTCTCTCTTTCTCTCTTCTTCTGTCTTCCTGTCACAGCTGATTCAGTGAAGGGACTAGAAAATCTAATTCAGACCAATATTGCGTGGCGAAAAGCAAAACTATTTTAAACCTAGGCCTACCTTTGCAAATGAGCATGTAATAAGCAGGATAATCAACGGCTTGAAGTGCGTTAAAGAATTTTCTCTGCTGTGCGTTGTGTTGTCCTTCACCTCAACGTTGTGCATTAAAATCCTTTAAAGCACGGCAAGCTGTTGATTATTGCTTACTTACTGTATAAAGCCCTTGTTAAAGCCCCCTTGAATGAGCAGCATTTATAAGGATTTAAATTTTGTTTAGAAACAGACTAGTAAACAGTTTGCTGAGTAAACACTTATAATTCTTCAGAATAAGCACTTCTGGCACCTGAACGTTAGACACTGCAGAGATTTGAACCCAAAAATCTCCTGTTGACAAGACTGCCGCTTTGACCAACTAAGCCACAGCCCACTGCTCAAAATTGGGAATGACGTTTTTCCACAACGAACCTAATAAAAGACAGCATGTCTTGAAGCAACCATGAAAGAGGTTGTTTAACTCTATTTTCTTGAGCTTTCCATTATGCCACAAAGCCAAACAATTGTCATTCATTTTGTTAAGCTCTGTAGAAGAAGCATAACCACCACCTGAACCAAGGCACTGCTGGAATTCCAACCCAGGATCTCCTGTTTACTAGACAGGCGTTTCTGATCCAGGATCGTTTGGTTCTTCAAAACTGATCCGAGAGTTGTTGTCATAGCTACAGTTCTGGTAGATCAAACCTGGTCGGGAGCAGGTTCAACTCATATAAACAATTTCTGTTTAATGGAGGGAAGATTGTTTCAGCACATTTCTAAGCATAATAGTTTTAAAAACTTATTTCTAATAACGGATTTATTTTTTTCTTAGCTATGATGACAGTAAATAATATTTCACTTGATATTTTTCAAGACACTTCTAAACAGCTTAAAGTGACATTTAAAGGCTTAACTAGGTTAATAAGGTGAACTAGGCAGGTTAGGGTAATTAGGCAAGTTATTGTATAACAATGGTTTGTTCTGTAGATTATCGAAAAAAAATAGCTTAAAGGGGCTAATAATTTTGTGCCAAAAAGGTTTTTAAAAAATTCGATAGGCCTGTTTCGGATGCCTCCTGGACGCCTACCTAGGGAGGTGTTCCAGACATGTCTCACCGGGAGGAGGCCTCGGGGAAGACCCAGGACACCCTGGAGGGACTATGTCTCTTGGATGGCCTGGGAACGCCTCGGGATCCCCCCAGAGGAGCTAGAGGAAGTGTCTGGGGAGAGGGAAGTCTGGGGTTCTCTCCTAAGACTGCTGCCCCCATGACCCGGCCTCGGAAAAGTGGCAGAAAATAAATGAATGTCACTATCTTATAGATATCCTAAGAGTCTATGCCTTATTTATTTATTTTTTTTATTATTCATTTACTTTTTACTCAAGATCATGATGATTTTTCTGTGACCTTGACCTCACAAAAGTTGTTTCCTGGTGATAGGACTTCATAAAGGAAACCCTCAACAAAAATGTAATAGTGTCATAGGCCTACTTTGTAATTGCTAATCAAATAAAAGTTAAAGAGAACTAACAAATTAGTTAGTTCTAACAACTAACAAATAACAAATTAGCGTCATCCAGGTGGATGCTGCACACTGGTGGTGGATAAGGAGATCCCCCCCCCACCCTTTGTGTAAAGCGCTTTGAGTGCCCAGAAAAGCGCTATATAAATGTAAGGAATTATTATTATTATTAAATTACAAATTCTCTCATTTATTAAAATTATAATATGTTTCTTCATAAACAATGTATTAAAGAAGTCTCTCTCTCTCACACACACACACACACACACACATTTAATTGGCATCTTTTAAAAGTTTTTCTAATTGAAATGAGGCACAATCATACAAATACTTCTCATTACTGCCATCTGGCCTCAAAGTTTTGTTGTGTATTAAATATTAGGACAGATTAAGCACCATGATGCTGAAGGCACATCTGCAAGTCTGAAATCTGACAACTGCAGCTCTCCATCAGGTTTAAGCAGACTGATGTCATGATAGTTGTCTCATTGCACCATGAGTGATGGACTTAATAAGACAAGAGAGGCGACTGCAGACTTGCAGCCTGAGGTCAGTCTGCTGTTTCCTTTTATATGCTAACAAGTTATCATCTGGACAAGGACAAGACAAGGACATTTAATCTCAGGGCATTTAAAAGGATAGTTCATCAAAACAAAACAAAAAACGGCATTATACTCACTCTCATGATGTTCCCGTGTTATATAAACTTGTTTTCAG